TCTCTCTCTCTCTCTCTCTCTCTCTCTCTCTCTCTCTCTCTCTCTCTCGCCACAGCGCTGTACTTGTTTTATTATTTTATTTCCTATCGCGTGAAACGACTGGCCCGTCATTCCGTGAGCCACGATAAATTAGTCGTTACCCGAAAAATCAATATCGTGTCAATAATCCCCGTGGTTTCAATCCCACGTCTTGAAACGGCGTCTTCGATCGATACTAATCGATTAGTAAGTCCGACCGGCACGAAATCAATGAGAGATATGATTAGAGCTGCAGATACTTCGGAACTAAGATAGAACTCCCTGGCTTCGAAAACTCGTCTTACAAGTCGCGCGCGATAACAATCGTCATCGTAGATGTCGTAAATGAATACCGCAGTCGCGCAAGAAGCGCAGGCAATCGAGTGTGCAATTAAAACCGCCATCAGAAACTAACGCGATATTCGCATTTGACGAGATCCCAAGGCCGATAATCGATTGACGTTGGATCTGCGCGTTAGTTTCTCGACAGAAAGAGAGAGAGAGAGAACAAAAGAGAGATTAGTTATTACGTGCCAGTCGATCGTTCTCGGCACCGGATCTGCGTGTCAGATATACAGCAGCGAGGAAGGAGCGAGGAGGACGATCGCACGTTGAAATCATGAATCGGAACGGGACTGATGTGCGAAGTGCCACTGTCATCGAACAAGAGTCTCAACGGCAGAATTTAAAGTCTAAGTTCAAGAACCCGTTCGGATTTAGAATTTGATGAAGAAGATTTCTTAACAAAATCGGACTTTGAAAAGATTGCGAAAGAAATACTTGAAATTTCATATGCGAGATATAAGAATTTATTCAGAATATAAACCTTACATCCCAGAAGTAAATGTTCGAGGACTTTTTTTTCTTCTCAATGCAGATCGAGTAAATCGCAGCATCTAGTTTTCTTCTTCTAGACCGGTATGGATCTGACCGACAGCTCGTGCGAGATACTCGATAATAAAAATAAAAAGAATTACCGCGAGTGACCGAGCGCGCGCCGACATCCCGCAGTACTTGAAATCCCCCAAGGAAAACCTCGTTAACGCGTTATCCGGTGCTAACAGGACACTTCGTGGAGAGGCCCGCGGGTCGGACATCCTTCGCGAAAAGCGTAGTGGAATGACATATTTAGCCATGCCAAGTGGAAGCTTCCGTGGGAGATGACGACGACAGACGTACACGGCGCTGTCGCGACGAAGGTCGCGAAGAAGAGACGACGCTGGCATTACTCATCGCGTTGTCGTGCGATTTGAGGTTATGGCCGCGAGAGAAGGAGCGGGCGAGCGCGGACAAACGATCACCTTTTAAAGAGGGAGCCAGGCGTTGGCGGTAGCGCCACGGCGCTACTTTCACGGCGGCGAGAGCGAAATTCCCGGCCGCATTCTCCGACGGCGGTGACGCCTAGGTCCATTAACGCGACGACGAACGAGTCGAAATCGAGGAAGAACCGAGAGATACCGCGAGGAATCGATCGGCTGCGCATCGACGCGTACGGGTGGGCCTCGCATTACGCGTCAATGCGGAGAGACGATGTGCAAGTGAGCGGACGAGTGAGTGTGCGAACGAGCAATTCTGCGACGCAGTACGATGCCGCAAAGATCGATAGCCGGCTCTGGGGCTCTCGCTCTCTCGCACCGATGAGTTCCCACGAGAACGACGATAAATGGCGAGCGCGATCGAGAACCGACAACCCGCCGCCGCTGCCGCTACCACCACCGACGACGACGACGACGGCGGCAGCAGCGGCGAGTAGTCGGTCACGCAGGAAATGACGAGTGCGTGGAAGTGGCCCGACCGACTTGCGCCGCTATATAGCGTATCGAGAGGGAGCGAGCTAGCTGCGAGGGCGCAGAAGCGTACGGTGTGCGAGTGCGAGAGAGGGAGAGAGACAGGAAGATATGTATGTGCGCAGAATGAGAAAGAGACAGAAAAAGATATAGAATGCGACACGGGGTCGCGGCTTTTTGTTGCACACTTACCTTAGCTTAAAGTCCTTTGTACAATAAATAGTGACGTAAATACACACGATCCGTACGCAGAGCCGTGAGCCGGCGTGACGGACGACGAGAGCGCGGGGAGGGGACGGGCGAGAAAGAACCTGCGTGTGCCGCGACGACGACAGCGACTTGGGCTCTACTACGACTGGTATTCCGTTCTTCTCCTTCTCCTGGTCTCTCTCTCTCTCTCTCTCTGCTTTAAGTTCCGACCGCAGGGATTAACGCGCGCGCGAGACGGACGAGCGAGAGAGCGTGGAACGCGAGCGAAAACTAAAACACCGGCTCTTTATTCCTCGGTCACACTCTCGGCTACGATACCACACATCCCTCGGCGACCACTCCCGCACAGCGACTGAGCCGGCAACGCCGCTCGTGGTGGGGAACTCGGATCGCCTCGTGCCGGGGCTCGGCCGCAATCGTGCGCGTCCGTTCCCGATCGTGCACGCTCGGCCGCGCTCGCGCCTTCTCGTGTCTGAGCCGAAGTATTGATCGGCTCCCGACCCCGGCATGGCGCTCATCGGCGAGGTTGGGTGGGGCAGCGGAGCGCGCACGGCTGTGTCCCGGGATCCGACGCGCCGCGCCGCGCCGCGCCGCGCCGCGCCGCGCTGCACGATGACGACGAGGAGGCGACGCGACGGCTCTCGCATCTTTTTCTTTCCTTTTTGCCTACACGTCCCGCTCACCTCTCGCGGCTCTTTCGATCGTCCGACTCGCTTCTCGTCTCGCTCACTCCCCCCACCTTTCGAAAACTGCCTATTCGTTTCGTCTCTCTTTCTCTCTCTCTATGTTTCTCTCTTTTTTTCTCTTTTTCTCTCTCTCTCTCGCCGCGCTATATCCTCCTACACCGTTGTCGGAACTATTCGTCTTCTACCTCGCACTTCGTCTCACCCGCTGCTAAACGTCCGTTACCGCGTGTCTCTGTCGACCCTACCGGGACCGACCGTCTGTCTGCCTGTCTGTCTCTGTCTATCCTTCTCCTCTTCCTCCTCCTACTCGCAACGTTACATCGAGTCCCGCGCAATTTCGTGCGAAAATTAACCTGGAAGGAGCGCTCCGTCCAGTTTTACTTTTTTCTTTTTTTCCCCCGACATCCCTGAGCGCAAGTGAGGTCCTCTCTCTTCATATGGTTGACGCGCGAAAAGCCGCGGTCAGCCCGTCGCAATTTCCTCGGAAGATCGTCAGTTGTTTGCGAGGAAATTCTGCAGGTGATTCCCCCTCAATCTGTCTATATTATACCCTCTGATCATCTGACTCTGTCGTCGGTGCATCGTAATGCTTGTAATTAAGCAAAAACGCCGACGTTCCGCCGCGGCCGTTTTGCAAAAAACGTACGATTTTCGCGTAGCAACATTCTCACGTGGCTCACACGATCCAAGTGATCTATGAGCGCAGATCCATGGCATTTACGAAAACGCGCGCGGCATCGCGAGCTCGTAAGTTATACAGGGTGCTCGAAATGCACGGCGGAGTCAGCGCTGGCAAGGACATTTTTCTACTTGAGCAGCGGGGAAACGCGCAGTCGACGGCTAAAATGAGTGCGTTGGGTGGGTCTGAGAGAGAGAGAGAGAGAGAGAGAGAGAGAGAGAGAGAGAGAGAGAGAGAGAAAGGAAGAGGGGGAGAGAGAGAAAGAGAGACTGACGATTACCATAAAGACCCTTTCGTCCTCGCGACCGTTTAATCGTGTCATTCCTCTCGTTCACGGTAAATCAAAGGATCCACGCGAAACGGGATCGTCGTCGGCGTGGGAGGAACGACGACTCGGAAAGAGTTCGTGAGAAAACGACTTGAAGGATTGTCATCTCGTTTTCTATTTTTGTATGCTGCGAAATAGCTCGAGACAGCGATGATTAGCGTTTCTCAACTTAAACCGCAAATAATTCACAGATTCGTATTCAAATTATGAATAGGAATGTTCAATTCACGGGTATCACGAGCCACGAATTAAAGAACGTACATGAATTTCAATGTTTGTAAATCCAAGGATAATCAGAGGAAGCGAATCGAAGATTCGCACGAGTATACGCAGTAAAATATTTTACTGCCAAGAAAAACGACTGCTCAGCTTATTTGTCTTTTTTTTTTAAACGGTGATTATTTTTAACAAGGAATATAATTGACTGTAAAAAATATATTCATCACGAATATAAAAACAAGCTCATTTTTGTGTACCCAAAAAAGAAATTTGGAGAGAATACTGTCTTTGCAAGAATATTGTAAAATCTCATCAAAGAACAAAAGCTAGTTTGAGACTTTATGTGTCAAGCAAAACGAAATTTGTTTCAATTTAATATTTTCGATTGGACTGTTAAACTCACTAGGATCCAGAATGTATTTGGAATAAATTCGACGCGTTTATAACATAAATTTATATATATGGAAATTTATGGAACATCTGAAACAAGTAACATTTACTCGACAGTGACATATTTTTCTGTGTATATCGCGGAGCACAGCTCGTAAGCTGAAAATATCTCCTATGCATGAGAATATCCTGTTATTACTCGGTACATTTATCGCGTTGATATTGGCCGAGAGGTTCCCGATTCATGTTGTTTATAATCGCGTTGTTTAATTTCGTTAACATCAGGTGAAATTTCACCCGGCGAATCGGGCGCTGTAAATATAGGTGGGTTTAAGTGGTGGTCATTTTATGTGTTTGCGTATTTCGCGCGATAAATCCATTCATCGAAAAATCCGTCAGAACCTTGCGTTCTCCGCACCCACGTGGAAAATTGGACATACGACACACACACACCCTCACAGCCACGCACGAACTGGCTCGGACAACCGAACGTGCGCGTATGTGTGTGTGTCTCCCAACGAGGGTGTAACATCGGCAATTTCGGTTGCGAACAACGCTCCCGGGGCCACCGACATCAAAGCCGGCAAATCGCGCATCACGTCCTCGCGAAAATTCCAGTGGGTCGTATCTCGTTTATTTATCATCGCCAGCCCCGCGAGAGGGCTGCGACGTCACAATGAATCGCGTGTTATTTCCGCGCAATATGGGCCGCGACAAACAGTTTCGCGCCCCGGCATAAAAATCCGCGCGCAGGTCGATCGCGAATTCGCGCTTCGACCTTTTCTCGTCCGCGGGACAAATCGAGTTTACGCGTTTGCCGCGAATATATTCATACGCGAATTCATATTCAAGTTCCTTGAATACTTTCGAAAATTACTCGTTCCCGAGTGACTCCATCTCTCCTTCTTTTCCTCTCTTTTTCCGGCCGTAATTAACTCGCGAATCTCATAATGCAGCTCGTACAATCTCCGTGTGTGTGTCTCTTTCTCTACGCCTCTCGTATGTAATTCTAGTTTATTAAATATTTCTACTTTCACTCTTTTATTGTACCTAATTTCGGAACGGCATCTACAATAATGTTGCATCTGGTTGCACGTAGCGTATAGTTGCCGGATTACTTTATCAGTTATTATTTGTAATGCGCAAATTGTGATTTAGCAACTTTCCGCGTCTGTGTCGTTATGTCGCGTGTCTAACAATTTTGTATATTCAGAGTTAATTGTATTTCGGAGTATGCGAATGTTGCTTTTCTCTATTTCTCTCCCTCTCCTTCTGGAAATTCCGCCTCGTAACTCGCATCCCTTCTGTTAAAATGAAACACGTCGGACGCGCATTTACGCGTCGAAAGCTTCACGTTTTCCCAAAAAATCATACATCAACTTCTTCTGCACAAACGCAATAATTGAATTAAATAAACGTTTTATTTATTCAAACGCGGATATATATCGCGTTCAATTGTAAATTTGTACCGACGTCCCGATTTTACGATCTACTTGCGCGTCGCAACGCAATATGTACAAATTGTTAATTAAAACTTTATAGTAGCGGTTTGCACACAAATGAGGGTAATTATTCAAGCAACAATATCCAAACGTATTTCCGTGAGGTTACGTTCTTCTTCTCAAAAGCTTCCTTTACGTTCGGGGGAAGAAAATAAAAAATAAAAGAAAATCCGTTGCTCTTTTTTCCTTTGAATTCTTCGACTTCTCGCTGTGTATAACGCGTCGTAATTTAAAATGCGAATATATTAAACATATCGTCATGTCGAAAGGGAAAAAGGATTTCCATTACTGATATTGAAAATCTCATCATCGTATTAATTAATAATCTTGCCATCATAATGTCTATTGAATCGACGGAGATAGGGTGCCTGGAAGGCAATATTAAAACGGCACGCAGGAAAATGCATGTCGCGTTCAAATAAATATTATATGCTTCAAATATTTCATAAGTTTACATATCCACAAATTAGTTCATCATAAGCATTGAATTTATTCAATCAATTTATTCAAAATGCACACGGAAAGGAAAGTTTGGTTAGATTACATTTTTGGTGAGATATAAACAAACCAGAAATGTTTAGGTTCAAGTTATCAGATTCTGTTGAAGTTAATAAAATTCACTTGAATAATATTCTGATAATTTCAGCTATAATTTTCTGTTTCGCTCGTATTTCATCAGAAATTTGATTAATCTAACAATTTTTTTTACGCATTCTAAATCCTAGTAAATTTAGCACTTTAATCAAGAATATTAAATTAAAACAAAAATTCGGCTTGCTCATTATATACATAAAAATAAATCAATTTTTTTTTTAGATACGGTTTTATAATATTCTTGCAAAGAGAATATTTTCTCAAATTTGTGGTAAGCATATCTGAAAAATTATCAAAGAAAATATTCTTTGTTCGAAATGGCCATTGCTTAAAAGAAAAAAAGTAAACTGAGTAATCGCTTTTCTCAGAAGTAGAATAATGTTTTTCTGTGCGTATATATATGAAAAATATGATTCTGCAATCTAAAATATCTCATTGCTCCCATTAACAATCCGAAGAAATACGGTAAATATCTTGCAGGTGTAGCCGCGTTTGATCAACGCGAACGCGTACGCAAAAGTGTAATTTTTAATTACGGAAATTCTCGTGACGCGCTGCACCGCGCGCTCAACTTCGATATGTCAAGGGCCATTATTATCGAGGGTGTGTGTACGAGAAATACTGGCATGCAGCGTGGGACTCATTGCTGAAAAAAAAACCGCGCGATTGAACGTCGTGAATTGCGCGCGAGAGAGAAAGAAAGAGAGAGAGAGCGAGAAGTGCTAACGAGAGCACTTTTGTCCGTTCCCCTTCCCCTCCTCGCCTCCTTTTCCTTCCTGCCAGCGCACACAGCACATGGCATACCAGCACGGTCCGCGAGCGCGAGCTCCGCATCGAATGAATAACTGAAACAATGCGGAGCGAAAGCGACGCGCAGTACCGCCGTGTGCGCTCGTAACATCGATCGTAAGATTGCAATTGGGTTAAAGTCGGCATCGCCGCCTGCCTCGGCTCTATAAGCTAAGGG